CCTGAAGGGGTTCACAGGTCGCCTCCTTCCTTGCTTCTTCTAGCTCCCAGTCTCTGCTGACAAGCCCTGGGTTTCCTTGGCTTGTGGGCACATTACGTCAGTCACATGGTCGCCTTCTCCCTGTGCGTCTTTATCGTCTTCCCTCTGTGCATGTCTATGTGTCCAAATTTCCCTTTTTGATAAGGATATCAATTATATTGGATTAGGGGATCCTGACAATCTCATTTTAACTTGATTACTTTTGTAAAAATCCTATCTCCAAATAGGGTCACATTCTGGAGTACCAGGGGTTAGGACTTCAGCATAGCTTTCTTGGGGAGGCACAATTCAATTCATAAAACCATCTGTGGTGGTTAATTTTTGTGTCAGGTTGGGCGCAGTAATTATATCTATAATCTCAGAACTTTTGGGGGGCCAAGGCTGGAAAATTGCTTGATTCCAGGAGTTTGAGACCAGCCTGGGCAATATAGCAAGACACTCTCTCTACAAAAGATAAAAAATTAGCCAGTCCTGTAGTCTCTCCTCCCAAGGCTGAGGGGAGAGGATCGCTTGAGCCCTGGAGGATGAGGCTGCAGTGCAGAGATGGTGCCACTGTACTCTAGCCTGGGTGATGGATCGAGACCTTGTCTCCAAAAAAAAAAAAAAGGATGTCAACTTAGCTAGGCCATACTACCCAAAAATTTAATCAAACATTGTTCCAGGTGTTTTGGTGAAGGTATTTTTTAGATAAGATTAACAGTAAACTTGGAGTAAGGCAGATTATCCTCTATAATGTAGGTGGGCTTCCTCCACTCAGTTGACGGCTTTAATGGTAAAGACTAATCTCCCAGAAGGAGAGGAAGTTCTGCCAATAAACTTACCATCTTTGAACTCAAACTGAACTGTTCTCTGGGTGTCTAGCCTGCCAGCCTACCCTACAGATTACATATATACATCCTGTTGGTGCTGTTTCTCTGGAGAGCCCTGGAATTGTAATTCTTTTTAAGGCAGAGTCTTGCTCTTGTCACCTAGGCTGGAGTGCAATGGTGTGATCTCGTCTCACTGCAACTTCTACCTCCTGGATTCAGGCAATTCTCCTGCCTCAGCCTCCAAGTAGCTGAGATGACAGGTGCCCGCCACCAGGTCCCTGGCTAGTTTTTGGATTTTTAGTAGAGACTAGGTTTCACCATGTTGGCCAAGCTGGGTCTCAAACTCCTGACCTCAGGTGATCTTCATGCCTCAGTCCTCCAAAGTGCTGGGATTACAGGCCTGAGCCACGGCCCTGCCATGCTGGCATTATAATACACCATTCATTGGTCCCAGTCACCACCTGCCCTTAGGCCTCAGGGTCTTGGCCGTGGTGCCAGAGCTGTGGTAATTTCTCACCTAGACAGAGAATACCTGGGGCTGCCTTTCCACCCACCTCACTGTAAACAAACTATCAGTCAACCACTGAAGAAGCATTTCAGAGCCTTCAATTTTTGATTAGTCCCTTGGCAAAGTTCGGTCTCAGTGTGAATTGCTTTGAGAAATGATCGGGGAATAAATGAGAATTTCTTAGCTTCACAAGTTACCACAGTCCTGGAGGCTGGTGTTGCGTAGGAGTTAGAGGAGTCATTCCTCTAAAGTACTGCGCAAAATTCTAAAGTGTCTATCACATTGTTCATGTGTGGTTACCAATTGCTGTGTAACGAGCTGCTCCAAAATTGAGTGACTTTAAATTATAATTTTTTTATTTGTTCACAAATCTGAGGGTCAGCAATTTATATTGGGCTCAACGGGGTGGTTCTTCTGCTTGGTCTCTTTTGGAGTCGCTTTTGCAGCTACTGTCACCTAGTAGTGTAACGAACCATGGTTCATGATGGCCAAAGTGTCTGGCAGTTGGTACTGGCTATTGGCTGGGTACCTGTCTCCATGCAAGTTTTCATCTTCCAGATGAGAAACCCTGGCTTCCTTACCTGGTGGCCCCCTGTTCTAAGATAATAGGAGTGAAAGCTGCAAGGTATCTTAAGGACTAGGCTTGGAAAGTTGCCAAAATACCACTTCCGTTATATTCTTTTGCTTAGAGCAAGTTGCAAAGCCTTCCTAAATTCAAAGCAAGGAGAAACAGATTCCATCACTTGATGGGAAGCAGTACAGAGTCCTGTTGCAAAGAGACATTCATACCTGAGGCGAGAATTTACTATATCCAACTTTGTAAGCAGTCTACCACGTCCACTAAGCAAATGAAACTGGCAAATGCAGTGGTTGACTTATGTCTGGCTAAGTCACGGAAGGTGATGAACACAATCGTGATGAGATCCAGAGGTCAGAGGGGGACCCTGGACGCGTGAGGACATTGTTGTTTATTATACCATTTGACTGAGAACTGGGCAGGGAAGGCTTGTTGGACTCTGCCTGATTCGAAGTGTAGTCTATAAATTTTTTCCTGTGAGTTAGATATTTGCTTCAGTTCTGCTACAGCACAGCCGGAGGCATCTGGTAGGGCCGGCTAACTTATGTTCTTAGATTTTCTTTGGCAGAAATTAATTTTTTTTTTTTAGAATTTTTTTTTCTCTCCAAGGCTCAGTCTTTGGGTTAATATCGCAGATCCACAATTCATAAATTTGTTCCTCTTGGTTCATTGTTTCAGAATGAAATTTTTAATAGATTCCAAAGCCTTCATAAGAGTGCTGCCTAGTTACATAACGAAGTTACTCTGCACGTGGTTGACAGGTAGTAATTTATTATTATCTTTGTCCTTGATAAGAGTTATGCCTTGAACAGCAGGTGCCTAATAAATGTTAGCTATAACAACATAAGCAACAGAAGAAAGTTTGTCCCTTTGTATCTCAATCAGCCATTCACAATGCATACTCTTCTGTTGTCACTGTGCCTGTTTTCTGTTAATTTTATCAATTATATGTAGAGGGAAACTATAGCTGTGTGACGTTATTATTGTTAGTTAAATGTTCTAATTTATCCTGCCACTGTACTTCGTTTAGCATAACAAAGTCACAATATTTTTCTGTCCCTGCGGTGAAAGACTGTAGTAAGCTGATCTTGCTAACAAGAGAAAATTATTAGCTTTCTTAAGAATATAACCCTATATACATTACTAAGCATTCCAGGAGGATTAATAGTTCTACGAATTTTGGACAGGCCGAGGTAGCGGCAACGTGAGATAGGGCTGTTTTAATATTTGTCCTTGGCCCATTTGCATATCTATCACTGGTAATTCGTTAATGCTGCTTGTGTTTTAGTCTGTGGTCATGCCGAGAATTAATGCACTCTGCTGGCTGATACGCCCGATGCCAGAGCGAGAACTAGGCAAGTCTGATCGAACATTCCATGATTCCGGCAATCATGAGGCTTGCGTTCAAGGGCGACTTGTTTGCAGGGTGATGCTTTTCTGAAAAGTTAGCAGTGAAATGGCAGATTTCAAGCACCGTTCACTGACATTCAAGGCTTTCTTTCTCCTATAAGAGCTATTCTGGCACTTGAAATTGCAGAGGTTTTGTTTGTTTGTTTGTTTTGTTGTGGTCATTGGGAACAGGCAGAGAGAAGGCAAGGGTATTTAACATTCGACAGAGAATTGCTGAAAGTCAGAGGTCGGTCAGTGGGGGCTGCGAAGGCTTTGATCGCCAAACTAAGTGTCTAAAAGAAAAGAGAACAAGCTGGGGCGGTGGCTCATGCCTGTAATCCCAGCACTTTGGGAGGCAAAGGTGGGCGAATCAGGAGGTCGAGACCATAGACCATCCTGGCCAACACGGCTAAACCCTGTCTCTACTAAAATACAAAATTAGGTGCAAACCTGTAGTCCTAGCTACTCAGGAGGCTGAGGCAGGAGAATCGCGTTGAACCCAGGAGGCAGAGGTTGCAGTGAGCCACCAAGTCCAGCCTGGCGACAGAGCAAGACTCCATCTCAAAAAAAAAAAAAAAAAAAAAAAAAAAAGAAAAAAGAATGAGAACCTGAAACATCAGAAACGATCTGTACGTCGGTTGCACTGGACACCCTAACCAACCTGCATATTTGTATATGTTAAAACACGTGATTATTTTAATACACTCCCTATGAATTCTGCTACTTAGGAGAACTTTGGATAAATCACAAGAAGGCACATATTGATATAACATTAACTTGACGTTGGCATTTGGCTGTTATTATTAAACATGTATGAAGTATCTAATTCAATCATTCATCAGTTCAATTTTGTCAATCCACAAATAATTACTGAAGGTCTCATATGTGCCAGATGCATGATAGGTTTCTGGAATTCCAGAGGAGTTTGCAGTCTAGAGGAGAAGAAAGAAAAGCAAGCTGGCAGTCTCAGTGCGATAGTATGTATGATAGGGGGTCTGGATAGGTGACCCTGGAGGAAGTGACCTCTCTGGGAGGTGCAGGTGTAGGTGGAAGGAGAGCCAGGTCTTTCGGGATTAAGGCCCAGGCTCCGGAGTTTGGACAATGGAAGGCATTGAAGGCTTAAGAAAGGAAGTGGCATGATCAGGCTGCAGTTTGAACAGACTATTCTGCTTGCAGTGGGGAGGATGGCTTAACAAGGCGGCTTAGATTGCGTTGCCAAGACGCTGAGCCAGAAACGGGCTTCTTGGGCAAGCAATTTCTTGAGGGAGTGCTTTCAAGTGAAACCTGTAAGGGTGTGAGGGAAACGCAAATAGGACAGGCTCAGAGGAGGTCTGGCCTCAGGCTGATCCTGTGGGAAGTCTGGGGCATGTGTGGGGACACAGATTGCCCTCTTGAGCGAGGCAAGAGGACCAGCCTTTGTGCCTGCTTATCAGGCAGATGTGGCTGTGGGCTGGCCCCAGCTGGAAGTCAGACCCCCCCTCCCCCCACCGGACTTTTCCAGGTGAGTGGTGCTTTTCTCCAGGGCAAGTCTCCGGAGAAGGGAACAGCTGTCTTGTTAACGGGCAGTATTCACAGCAGCGGGGGTGTGGGTGCCTCAGTCCAGGCAGGAAGAGCCGAAGAGAGAAGGAAGAACCATTTAAAGGGCTCTTGACATCCTCCACATGGGGGAGATTGCTTTCTATCGCTGGAAAGGAAAGGACAAATCAGTTCCTCTAATGGAAAATGCATTAGGCTTTCTTGAGAGAGCCCCCTAAGGAAGGAGAAAGAGCAACAGGACATTACCAGCAGTTTGGCTGAGGGCAAGACCTAAGAGGTGTATCCATCAACCCTGAAGAAAAGAGACCCACGGTTCAGAATTAATCAGAGGGAAGGGAGTGGGACTTGAGTCACACAGAGGTATGCGACAGGCGAGGCAGGGGCCAGGCTGTGCCAACCTTCTAAAAATAAATCATTCCCTCCTGTTTCCTTCAGAGGTGCACAAGGTAATTTGCAAACATTTGCAGGCAAGTTTTTCACCGGGCTGAACCACAGGCAAAGCTCCCACTGACTTCACAGGGAGCTCCCAGGGGACACACAGCAAGGTGAGGGCTTGGTTCTGGGTAATTAAGACTTACGGCACCCTTGTTCACGAAGAAATCCCAGTGCACATCATTGAAATGCAGCAGCCCTGCAGACCCTCGGCGGCCCGCGGCATTAGAAGCCCGCTTGAGCCAACATTAATTTTGCTATCCTTCACTTTCTGAAATCAGAGGATGACATCACTTTGATTAAGAGGGACAGTCACGTTACAGATAATCAGTAGAGTCAGCCTGTGCTGGTCGGTGTCGTCAGAGCCGCTCACTGATGACGGGGCTGGTGCTCTACAAAACAACAAGAAATAGGAGTTTGTTGAGGGCAACTCTAATTCCCCTGTTGCCTTCTGAGCAGGCAGAATTCTCCCCAGATGCTCCACCTGCACTCTTTTCTTATATTTTCCTCCTTTTCTGCTTCCCTCTGTGTCCCCTTCTATAAGACACAAAGGTGCTCATGGGCCGTCGGGCCTGGTGGGAGGATATCTCTGTAGAACACTCTTTGGCCCCTCCTCTGGGTTAGGGTGATGGAGGAATGAGTACATGAATTAGCAGATCTGTGTCAAGAAGCACCACGTGCAGGGTGCTGTGCTGGCTGTTAGGAAGGGGATGAAGAATTCTCCAACACATTCCTAACCCTCAAAGAGCCTAAAATCTTGCTGAAGAGTCATATCTCTATAAGATACCCACCAACAGGGGTTAGCAGGGGTTCGCAGCACAACTTTAGACCAGATGGCCTGGGTTTGAATCCTGGCTCTGCCACACTGGCTGTGTCACATTATACAATGTCTCTGTGCCTCCGTTTTCTCATCTGTAAAATGCGTATGGCAGTAATACCCATCTCACAGTATATATGTGAGAAATTAACAAATTAATGGCCAGGCATGGGGGCTCACACCTGTAATCTTAGCACCTTGGGAGGCTGAGGCAGGAGGATCACTAGGGGCCAGGAGTTTGAAACTAGCCTGCGCCACATAGTGAGACCCTGTCTATTACAAAATGTATATATATAAAAAATTAGCTGAGCATGGCAAAGTGTACCTGCAGTCTCTGCTACTGAGGAGGCTGAGGAGGGAGGATCGCTTGAGCCTGGGAGCTCGAGGCTTCAGTGAGCTGTGATTGCACCATTGTACTATAGCCTGGGTGACAGAGTGAGACCCTGTCTCGAAAGAAAAAACAATAATGAAAGAGCTTAAAACGTGGTCATTGCTCAATAATTGTGAACAAAGCCACAAACACTTATAGAGTATTTACTGTGCTAAGTTCTTTGTATGCTTTATCCAATCTAATTTGCAAGCAACACATGAGGTGGGTACCATCATTATCACCATTTTACCAACAAATGGAGGCTCAGACAAGTGAAGTGACTTGCATAAAACCATAAAGCTAGGAAGTGATGGAGATGGGATTTGTAACCATGGCCAAGGCACTTAGCTGTTATTCTATAATGTGTCATTTATAAGAAAACCAATGATGGCCAAATGTTTCAGATACTTTGAGAACAAAGAGCTAATTGGGAAGTGGAGCAATGAAGGAGGGTTTCTGCTGAGTCTTCCATTTGCAGGTAGGAGTTTCATTCATTACAGCCAGTATTTATTGAGCACACAGTACGATTAAGCACAGAGCTGGAGACCATGAGTGATGCATGGCATCACCTTGAAGTTGGAAGAGGAAGAAGAATAAATTAATCAAATAGGAGAGGAGCATGGAGGTGGACTCTGGAAGGATCAGGAACTTGAAGAGGGATTAAGTGTGTCCCTTAGGGATGGAAAAATGTGGATGAAGGGAGGGGAGCAGGAAAGTCTTTCTAAGGAAGTGGGATCTTGCATGGCCTGGGCAAAGGCTCAGGTATGAGACAGCCTAAGGAAACCCTGAGTTTGTAAGCATCTGAAGCTGTGGGTGGAGGTGTGTAGGATGGTGAGAGGTCATTACAGTGACCAGCACCCTTTTGAGTGTCTTGATGTGTTAAGCATTAGCACAGTCTCTTTTATTTTTGCCCTGGAGTGGGCAAACCAGGGCCTATGGGCCAAATCGAGCCCACCACCTGGTTTTGCTTGGCAGGTAAACTAAGAATGATTTTTACAGATGTAATACTTGCAATTGATTTCGATGATAGGGAACACTAACTTAAAACCCTAACTAAACAAAGTGTTATTCTCCCCACAAAAAGAATTCTGTTATTCTCATCAGTAGGCCTGAATTTAAAAAATAAATAAATACAGCAAACCACATTGCCATGTATGTACCTGTGCAACAATCCTGCATGTTCTTCACATGTACCCCAAAATCTAAAACGCAATATAATATTTAAAATAAATAAATAAATAATTGTCCTTGGTCAGGTACAGTGGCTTGCCCCTGTAATCCAAGAACTTTGGGAGACCAAGGTAGGAGGATCATTTGATCCCAGGAGTTTGAGACCAGCCTGGGCAACATAGCGGGACCCCACCTCTATTCTATAAATAAATAAATAAATAAATAAATAAATAAATAAAATTGTCCTCAATTAATAATACTTTTTTTCTGGCTTTATTGAGGTATAATTTATAAATGAAAATTGTACATATTCAAGATATACAACATGACAATTTGGTATGCTTGTGAAATGATTACCACAATCGAGTTAACATGTGCATGACTTCACATAGTAACTATTTTGTGTGTGTGTGACACTAGAGATCTATTCTCAGCAAATTTCAGGTTTACAGCACAGCACTATTCACTGCAGTCACCGTCCTGTACTCTAGAACCCCAGAACTTATTCATCTTATAAGTGAAAGTTTCTACCTTTTGACCAACATCTCAGCAACCCCCACTCCCAGCCCCTGGCAATCACCCTTCTACTCTCTCTTTCTTTTTTTTTTTCCTTTTTTTTTTTTTTTTTTTTTTTGAGATGGAGTCTTTTTCTGTCACCAGGCTGGAGTGCAGTGGCTCAATCTTGGCTCACTGCAACCTCTGCCTCCTGGGTTTGAGCGATTCTTCTGCCTCAGCCTACTGAGAAGCTGGGACCACAGGCATGTGCCGCCACACCCGGCTAATTTTTTTTTTTTTTTTTGTATTTTTAGTAGAGACAGGGTTTCACCGTGTTGGCCAGGATGGTCTCGATCTCTTGACCTTGTGATCCGCCCGCCTCGGCCTCCCAAAGTGCTGGGATTACAGGCGTGAGCCACCGCGCCCGGCCTACTCTCTCTTTCTATGAGTTCCAATTATTATTATATTTTAAATTTTACCAGTAAAAACATTATGGATCTTTATTTTCTCTCTAGTTTTATAAATACCTATATAGTAGCCTCAATTTTGCTTCTTGACTTGCAACACCAGGAATATTTACTATCTAGCCCTTTGTAGCAAAAGCTTGCCAGCCCTTGTTCTTTTCTTTTTGAGACGGAGTCTCACTCTGTTGCCCAGGCTGGAGTGCAGTGGCGCAATCTTGACTCACAGCACTCTCTACCTCTTGGGTTCAAGTGATTCTCCTGCCTCAGCCTCTTTAGTAGCTGGGGTTACAGGCACCCGACACCACGCCCAGCTAGTTTTTATATTTTTGGTAGAGATGGGGTTTCACCATGTTGGCCAGGCTGATCTTGAACTCCTGACCTCAAGTGATCTTCCCACTTCAGCATCCCAAAGTGCTGGGATTCCAGGCGTGAGCCACCATGCCTGGCCAGGCATCGTTCTTATTTAAGGATAAGGGAACTGAGGCAGAGAGGAGATGAAGTGGCGTCACTCAGATCACAGAGCTAAGACCAGGTGGAAGGAAGACCTGAACGCAGGTTGTCAGGACTGGGGCCCGATGCTCTGAGCCCACTTCCACCTGGTGTTTACAGAGGTCCAAGGAAGAAACTAAGGGCCAAACTAGGTCAAGAGGGGAGGGAATGGAACAGACAAAAGTGCCTGATGTAGAGACAAGCAAGAAGCCTGCTGTGCCAGGCTTCTCTGGCTGATCCATGTGTCACAGGTCTGAGCTAGAGGCCATGGGCACAAAAGACTTGTTTCCCCTGGCAGAAAAGAATTCCTGGCTGCTATGGGCAGCAGACTTCTCACGTGGACGATTGGAAATATTTACAGTGCTGCAGGAAATGCTGGAGGAAGGGCAAGTCTGGCAGACTGAGGACAGGACAGAAGGAATGTTCAGCTTGGACAGGTTGAGCTGGAGATGCCTGAGGCATCAGTGTGTGAAGGCGAGTGGAGAAAAGAGTCTGGGCTCTGGAGCCAGGTGTAGAGTTGGGAGTCATTGCAATGGGGGCTGAAACGGGAGAGCGGAATTAATATGCTAAGGAAAGAAATCATTCCCTCTAACGGGAGTTGAAAGGTTCACCTGCTCAGAATGGACACAGGGGCAGAGCGCTTTCTCATCTTTGAACTCTGCGGTGGACAGGGATGGGAGTTCATGTTCCTGGGTTCAGTGGAACCTGAAGAAGGAAACAAGGTTATTTTTGAAATGGGTTATCTGTGTCATTGTATGATCTCTCTTGTCACACAAATAAGACGCACACACACCAAAGATCATAAAAGATGTATTTCGTTAAGCCCCAGTGTGTATATTAACTTGCATAGAATAATCTGATTAGCTTTGAAGGGTGTTGACTTAAAGAGAATGAAGATTTCCAAGTAAAACCAGAGGAAGAATGCTCGATGTCATTGAGAAGGCAGGGAGAATTTCCTTCCAGTGAAGTTTCAGAAAACCAAAGGAAGCAGCAGCCTCTGGTTATATAATTCCTACCTGGGCAAGTGAAAATCTTTGATTATCTATTTATGTCCTGCCAATTCCAGAGCCCAGAGGAAATCAGTCCAGCCTAAAGGAAACTAATTTTGACCACTTCTCTTTTCCTCTCTCTTGTTTTGTGGCCTCCTTAACCTTGAGGAGTTTGCCTGTGACTGCTTCAGGCTAATGTGGGAGTCCACGTAGGCAGAGTCTGGAGGAGCAGGTGACACCAGAGAGGAAGGAACTGAGATGCAGGGAAAGAAACAGTGATGCCACTGCCCAGCCGGGGGATTGCCAGCCAAGAAGATTCTTTTTGTTTTTTATGGTTTTTTTTTTTTTTTGAGACAGTCTTGCTCCATCACCCAGGCTGGAATGTGGTGGTGCAATCATGACTTGCTGTAGCCTTGACCTCCTGGGCTCAGGCAGTCCTCCCACCTCAGCCTCCAGAGTGGCTGAGACTACAAGCACACACATCATGCCTGGCTAATTTTTTTTTTTTTTTTTTCTGAGACACAGCCTCACTCTGTTTCTCAGGCTGGAGTGCAACAGCACAATCTTGGCTCATGGCAACCTCTGCCTCCTGGGTTCAAGCAATTCTCCTGCTTCAGCCTCCCAAGTAGCTGGGATTACAGGTGCCCGCCACCATGCCCAGCTAATTTTTTGTATTTTTAGTAGAGACAGGGTTTCACCATGTTAGCCAGGTTGGTCTCAATCTCCTGACCTCGTGATCTGCCCCGCTCAGCCTCCCAAAGTGCTGGGATTACAGGCGTGAGCCACTGTGCCCGGCTATTTTTTTTTAAAAAAGAGATTACTTCTTGCTATACCGCCCAAGTTAGTCTTGAATTCCTGGGCTCAAGTGGTCCTCCCAAAATGTTGAGATTACAGGTGTAAGCCACTGCGCCTGGCCTGAGAAGATTCTTATAAGCCTAATGTTTTCCCAAGAATTCTTGGAGTAAATAAGGAAAAATCTATGAGGCTGCCTGAAGTTTTAGAGGGAGTGAGGGTTCACCACTCACACACTTTAAAGGGAATGAGGGCCTCATAGCTGCACATCTGCTCCCACCCCTGCCCTAGTTCTGCTTGCACTGTTGTCTTACACACTCGTTTGCAGGAAGAGCAGTATCTGGAAAGTGGGTGCTGCAGGAAACCTGAGGATGTGGCAGGCTTCAACTAATAACAGGGTGTCCATCTCAAACATACATCTGACCTTTTCCTTGGATAAACAATGTAAAAGTAGGCCCAGAGACATGTATCATTTCATGAACCTGATTCTTGCCCAGATTTAATTCTATGAGTGGGCTTCGAGGGGACACTTTAAAAAACTACAGCCACACTTGGAAGCCACTTGGGTCCCACTGCATAGATTACCCCTTCAGTGTTCTAAATGGACCTGGGGAGCAAATCAACAAGATCTAGGAAATCTGTTTAAAAAGGGAAAAGGTGCAACATGGTCTCATATCTCTAAGAGAATGAGATTTTCCTAAGATGTCATTAAAAGAGAAAATGTTTGTGCAAAATACACAACAGCTGCATCAACTAAGACAATGACCTTTTGTGATTTGTAGGGTGCATATCATGTAGGTGGAGCAGAGATTTGTATATTTATCTCTGAACTGGGTTTGATTTTAATATTATTCTGTCTCTTATGCACAGTTCCCAAATGCCTTGTCGGGAAGAGCCAGTTATTAAGTCACTGAAAGTGTCTTATAAAAATAGCAGACGATCTAAACTGTGAATCATTCCACGGAGCCCCAGTGGTGTGAGCACAAGCAGATTCTGCCATGAGTTAAACAATTGTGCAAACATGTGCTCCATAGCCTTTCCGTGCCAGATTCAGTGCTAACCCTGGGGCGATGAAGATTAATAAAGCATAGCCTGTGTCTGAAAAGAGTTCACATCCCAGTGAGGAAGGAGCAAACCGATTTTAAAAATACTATACACAAGAAGGTTAAACCATTAGATAAATTAGAAGGGGTCACTCTGAAGTCGCATTGGTGAAGCATGGTTCTGTACAAAGTGCTGCAAGACTGTGGAAGAAGGGAAATTAACCCAACCTAAGGGTAGCTGGCAAACTTGAAGGCAGAGACATTTGA